AGTCATCTGGCTGGTCGGTAAGAGTACATTTTACCATCGAGTGGAGAAACAGTTTCAAGGCGTGCTCTTCGTTCGCATCCAACTTGTACACCTTGAGACAGGAGTATAAGCGCGACAAGAAAACAGTCATGGACAAAGCCTGCAAGATCCTGTTGAATAGCGCCTACGGCAAGACCATCACCAATCCCATCGTGCGCAAGAACGTCTTGTCCAGCGTTATAGATCTGGAGAAGGTGGTCGAAAAAGAGGTTGATAAGATCAGCAAGAGACTACAGCTGTCCACCATTCTTGCCGATCGCTCTGTGATTAGCCGCATTGTCACGAACGTCGATCACTGCTTCGATTCGCCTCGCTTTCCGGTCCAGTTTGGTGCAACTGTACTCGACTACAGTCAGGCTCATTTCGACAAGAATTTCTCCTGCCTTGAGCGACCTGACTTGCAGATCTATTACGGTGACACCGACTCGGCCATCCTGCACCGTCGCCACATCCCAACGCTTGAAGATGGCGGACACATGGGCAACGAGCTGGGACAAATGAAAAACGATCACGGAGATGGCATTATCATTGGAGCGATTTTCGCACGACCCAAGGAGAAGGCGTTGCTCGTGCTGTATCCCGACGGCTCTATACGTTCACACCAGACGTTTAAGGGCATTAGGCCGACGGCGGGCAGTGTTGGAGGCGTTATCAGAAACACTGTCAATCTTCTCGAAGACTACGCCATCAAGATCATGCATCCACTGGACGACGACGACGACGACGACAACGACAAGACCAAAAAGCAGCAGCAGCAACAGCAGGTATTCGACTAGTTTCAGCAGTGTGATGACAAGATTCTGGCTGCGTTGAGCACCTGGAAAAAGTATTTTGAACAACGGAGATGATCACAGCACAGCAAACACAGTGGAAGCGTAGTGCAACGGGCGTGAAGATTCGACCAATTTTCAAGCACATCTCCTACCTCCATCGTCAGAGAGCTCCCTGTGTTGCCAACGTCTACCCACCAATCAGTAATCTGTCCGACCATCTCTTCAAGCCATGTCACGAGTAGAGTTTTCGCGTGGAGCTCGTGCCCGCTCGAAGGTACGGATTGTCTGCACAACGTGCAATATGTGTACAAAGTTTGTGTCGTATGACGTACAGACAGGAGATCACCTCCACAATACGACCACGAAAGGACGAGATGGTGGGGTGCTCTGTGGGTACTACTGTACGGTACAGACACTGTACCAGGAAAACCTCTTTTTTAGCACCAATATCGAGTTAAACTCAACCCTGGGAGGTGTAGATAGTGTCGTGTCCAGGATTTGGCTGAGGGGGGGGGGGGGGGGGGGTTGCGGCCGGGATGCGGTGGGGGTAGATGACATCATGCTTCTGTCCCGGGTCAGCCATTTTGAAAACCGATGTCAAGAAGCCGTAAATCTCACACACCACGAGCAGTATTTCTGTACACGCAGCAACATTGTACATTGTAAACTTGCCGTTATGTGAGCCAATCAACTGCAATTTACGCGAGTCCAACAATTTCTCACCGCTCAAAGCATCCTTTACATAGGCAGCGGTACTAATGGAAGTTTCCGGAGGAGGAAGGAGGAAACTGTAGTTATCACCAACCCTCACCGCGCCCAGCTCACGCCGCTACGGCGTGCGACCTGAGCTGGGCGCCCTGCCCAGTATGGAACTGTCCTCAAGCCAGTCACGTATTTGGCAGCCCAGTGAGCTGTCTACCGGATCGCAGCGTTTAGAAGCGCCAAATGCGGCAGGGCCAGTCTCAGGCTGGTCGCGTAGGCGGCAGGCCGGCGGGCGACCGGCAAGGCTGCATTCGCATTTGGATCACCGAAGTGATACAGGTGCTTCGACGGCACTCCGTGGCGCATCAAGGAGGCATCTGGGGCCCAGGCAGCCCGCCCGTAAGCGCACCACCGTATCAGGTATGCGCAGGTGGAGCAGCAGAGCAAGATGTGTGCCGGACACTCACCATCATCCGGTCGACTGCATGGTTGTGCGACTTTACACAGCCGTCACTCATTACTTGCTATTGCTTGCAGAAGGCCAGAATTTTTTTTGCTCTCGTTTGCTCTAAAGCTAGTTGGTTTACATGGTTTATACCCGTACCTGAGCATGGATCCTACTCAGCAGCGGATCGCTGGTATTCCTCGTTTGAGACCGCGGCGACGGCAGCGTCGGCCCTGACCAACAAGCCTCGGGCGATGAGCATGCCGGCCGAAAATGCAGGCATGGACACTGTCGTGCATGACCAGTTTAGTTGAGTTCCTTGGAGGCGCTATGATGCCGGCCGGCGCATGTGTTGGCGCACGGGAGACGATTAGGACAATACGGCGTGCGGAATACTTCGAGCTGGCCACAATGCTTCCCTCCTGTCCTGCTCACACGCAGCCAGCAGCCAAACGTGTTAGAATCGATCAATCCGATGGCAATCACTGAGTGGAATTGTCATTGGCGGCTCCTCTTCTGGCAAGAGAAAAACTGAATCTCT